GAGTGCTGAGATTACAGGCGTGCACCACCACACTCGGCTAAAGCTGACTCTTGAAATACTCCCCCACTTTCTCCAATCACTCATTATTTCAATTGCTATAAGATCCACTAATTTTGCTTCTCCTTAAAATTCTTACGCAAATAATGATGAATCTCATACTCAACTTGATTTCCCCTATTTCTTCCACCCCTCCAAATTCCAGAAGAAACCCCACAACTAACCATCACCAAATATTAAGAAAGGAAAAATCTACAGCCCAGAGAGAATAGAAGGTGCAGAGAGCTTGGACCTTCCAGGTAAGGGCTGAACTTGTTCCAGCTCCTTGGCCTCCCAGTCAATGACCTGAGGCTAACTTATTGGAGCAGAGCAATTCCTTCCAGGCTCTGCCAAGGGACTCAGGTGACAATACGCCGGTCACTTTCCTCAAGAGCTCCCTAGTAATTTTACCTCCAAGGGTTTCCATCCCCCTAGTAAAGATGGGTCAGGATCTGAGTAAGATGATAGAGATGATGGAATATTTTCTTTTTTACTTCCCCATATATGAGTGATCCAAACAAGAGAGAAATTTTTAAAAATAGAATTAAAGACTTACATTAGTATCTGAAAACTTCAGAATCACTAAAGGATCAGTGCTTCCCCCACCTGCCATTAAGCACAACAGGGAATACAAGAGTTCTCCACACTTCAGTTACCTGATGTTGAATAACCAGAAAGAGGTGTTAGTCTGGTGCTGGTATAAGGGCCATGTCAATACATATTGGGTTCCTGGAGCCTCTCTCCAGATGGCTCAGAAAGCAATCTCCTGGAATCTCTAGTGAGCCTAGGAGCTGAGAGTGGGAGCAATAAATAGGAATCCTGCATTGGAAAAAAAGAAAGTTTGAAAGAAGAATAAAGAGAATGAGCCTGTTTGAAGCCTTGGGAGATCGTGGCCCTTCTCTCTGGGGCTCAGGCAGATAAAGCCCCACACTGCTGATAGGAATTATACCAAACTCCCTCCCAGAAATCCATTTTAAACACTGGCAGAGACACAGGATAGCAGCATATAAACCATTCTATAACTCAAACTCAAACTGCACGAGGGATCCATGGAGGAGTGGCCATCACAAGCAAGAGAAAAGTCAAAAGGCATAAGTGCTGCCCCATTTAAGAGGGAAGACACAAAGAGAAGTACCAACACTCATTCTGCTTCCTTTGAGAGAAGAATTGGGTTTACACACTAATGTGATAATCCTTCAAAGTTTGTTACTGTGTAACTATTAACCTAAGAGAGTAGAAGAAAGTAAAACTGGTCCTATGAATAAACAAAAGCACTTTAATAACTTGTAAGGCAGGGGAAAAAAGTCAACAGAAGTCAGTTTACTTTCCCATTGTACTGATAAACAATCTGAAGCACTAAATTATAAACCACAAAATGACAACAAAAATAAACCCCACAAAATTCTCAGCAAAATTCAGTAGTCCAGAAAGAGCTGTGAAAAAAGACTGAGGTTTCATGAGCATATTTAGAGGCAGACACCATGCTGAGAAAGCACAAGAGCAAGATACCTCAATGTCAAAATTAGAAAATACCGCTATAATACATAATCTCTTCCACAAAATGCATTAAAGAATGTAACTGAAAATTTTAAACAGTCCTTTTAGATCCTTAATATTTAAGAATTTCTGCATGGTGGTGCACATCTATAATGAGGCTGAGAGCAGGACGATCGCCCTGAGTTCTGAACTACATAGCAAGACCTTATCTCAAAATAAATAAATAAATAAATAAATAAAACTTTTTCAGATTTGGGAACAGAGAACAGGGAATGGTGAGTAGCAGATACAAAGAAAGGCAGAGCTAAAATATGTGTTGATTCTTATGCCACAGCCTGAAATGAGCATCATTTGAAGTTATGCCTTGACAAAACAATAAACTAATGCACGCCATAAGTTTTCTCAACTACCTCATCAGTTAACTCTTTAAAGCAAAAGGCTGGAGAGTAAACTCTGGTCAAAGATAGGAAAACCCCTTTCTGGTTGGCAATATTAAAATAAAACAAGCTAGTAGTGGCTGTACATGCCTATAATCTAAGCAGTATGGGAGGCTGAGGAGTGAGGACAAGTTTGAGCCCTGCCTGGGAAGTTTAGGGACTTAGTGACATCCTCTTTCAAAATAAAAAATAAAAAGTGCTGGGGGTGTAGCTCAATACAAAGGCCCTGAGGAATCCACAGTACCACAAAATATTAATTAAATCTTTTCCTTGGGGCCATAGAAAATTTAAGGAAAATATGTATCTATCTGGGAGCACTGCAGCTTCACCTCTTGGTGGATGAAAAGAAACAATTAAGAAGAGCAGTCAGAACAGAAGTTCAAAATCTCTAAGCTAGAAGAACATTCCACGGAGGTTCTCTCAAAACCTTGTACTCCACAATGTATCCCTTTTAACAAATTCCTACCATTCTCCATCACCATTAAGGAAAATTCTTAAAAGTAAAGGCCACGTGAATGCTCCTCAGCATAAAGTTCCAATAACTGCATGCTTTCTATATATATATATTTTTAGGTATACTGCATAATACTCATACTTGATTTATTGACATTACTTAGCAATTTATTGGACAAAAGTCAAACTGTTTTTTATTAAGTACATTCCACAGTACAAAGCTGTCATGAATAATATCTGTACAATTTAACAGTTTCAATAGCTGTTCAGACACAAATTTATTTCAAACAGATAATTGGCAAACATAATTAATTAAAAGTTAGAATTAGACTATCCCAGTGCTTTAAAACATTAATATAGCAGTAATTTACAGTTGCTCAATTATGGTTAGCAAAATAAAGTCCAGAGTACAGCTGGGAATTACTACTGCAATCCCAGAAAGTCAGAATTCCTTGGGTGCCAAAGTCCCTGTGATAATTTAGTAGGCACAATTCAAAGGTTGTGTGCATATTCAAAGGCCAGGGCTTCCCAAGGAACAAGAGGATCTTCTATATTAAACATGCAATAAAAAAAAAAAAAAAAATCCATTCATCCAGAAAATCACCTCTGCCCCTCCCCAGGCTTTCCAAGCCAGTTTGACATAAAAGCTGTAACATGAAGAGCGGTCAGAGTCAAGTCACCTTCACAACCACTGTCAGGCTTACAGCATCCATCTTATGAATGGAGGTTTAATTTTTACACTTTTGAGACTCAACCTCACAAAAATAGAAATTAGTAAGATGTGAGCAAGAAGGATATATTTAAGAAACATTAAAAAGGCAAAAGAAAAACTAAAAAGCAAAACCAGCTCAACAAACAAACCACATACACACACAGTGATCCCCACACCCTTCTCAACGCAAAGGGAAAAGGACGGACAGAGCCCAGGGGCCTTTCCTAGGAGTAGAGTGTGCTTCTTCTGGAAGAGGGTGTGTTCACAGGAGGTGGCTTATTGGTCCTTAAAAATGGGATTGACATTCCTTGATCTTTGGAAACAATGGTGAGGGGCAAATCAAAACCTAATACTGAAAGAGGAAAGAGGAAAAAGGAATGTTGACCAAATGCAACATCCTTCCCATGCATGATCAAAGTAACAGTGCTATTCTAGGCTCAGGCTGCAGAGCACTTGAGAACTTTGAGAGCCTGCAGGGTCCTTAGCAACAGGTAAGAGCGGAGCTGACTGGATGGGACTGCTGGGCCTGGGCTTAGCCCCACTCAGGAGAGCCCCGCCCTCCACATGGCCCCCAGAGCAGCCTGACCTGTGCTACAGGCTCCAGCACACCACTGGGCCCTGTAGTCCCTGAGAGAGCCAGGCCGGGAACTCGAGTGGGAGACTCTGTCTATAGGACCTTCTCATTCTTCTCTTCTCAGGGTTACTACTTCACAGAATGATGGCTTTTGACAATGAAGCCGAATGAATACTATGGGAAGTGACCACTAGTACTCAAAGAGTATTTATGAGGAAAATAACAAAAAAAATAAGGTACCTCTCTATTGCTTATCCTACACAACAAATAAAACATTCCTGTGTTAAACTTTAGAAGTTAGATTTTAAAACAAGATTCCCATTAAAAACCACACACACACACACACACACACACACACACACACACACACACGACAGTAACAAAATAAAAACACCGTATGAATACTGCAGAAAGGTTCTAGGTCATCCTCATCCACCCTAGTAACAGGTTTTTGAACCCATCCTACGGCTAAGTGTGAATACACTCTGAATTAGTGTCTCAGGCACAGGGGGCCCGACTCCAGCAACCTTGAGGTTAAAATGTTATGTACATTATATCTACATGCGGATAGAGTATTTTAAATTAGGAGGCAAGCATATGGATAAAGGTGTTATTCCACCAAATATCAGACGGTTGGGAGCAGAGAATAGTTAATAAAACAAAAGAGCTATATTACCTGTGGAGAGATAATATAACTGGTTGATAGTTCTTTAAATTAAAAGAAACTAGTACAGAAAGAAAGTGTAATCCAAAAAATATTCCTAAAACAATCCAGAGATTTTTTCCATTGTCCACCATGTATATTCCTACTATAAGTCAAAATCATAACAACTTGGGACAATCAAAAGGAGAATGCTAACTTCTGAGAGGAAAGCCCTGGACATTCTGGATAGGTGTTTGGCACCCAAAATTTCACTGAAGAAGAATGCTGCTTCTTAGTATCAGACCAAAGTGCAAAGCATTATAAATTAGAGGCCAAGTCTTCTCTTGACAGCAGATTTACTTCTGTAAAACAGACTGTTATGCCCTTTTATATGAACAATTTACATCTGAAGCATTAATTTTTTTTTTTCACAGATGGGGGTAGGAAGTGGGCTTCTGTCTACTGGAAGTCAGTGAAGCTAAAGTAACCTTCTAAAAGTAGAGCCAGGATCAGAGGTGTGAAATGTTGGTACTTGAAGAGTGAGGCTGCTTTGCATCTACCCAGCGTCTAGAATCAATTCCAGCTCCATAACTCAGCTGTGAATGAACTCCCTTAGGCATTTGGTAGCCACGTAGCCAGTAGTTCAAGACTAGGAAACCCTGAAAAGGGTGAAAGTGCAGACTGTTATCTGGAGATGTAAGTGTATGTTCTGGAGGGAGAACGTGTCTCATTCTGGGCACTAGGAGGCACATTTAAGAGATCCCAAATCAAAATAGTGTCATCATGGGAGCTGCTGATGATTTGAAACTCATCGAACTGTAGTCAAAACACACGACCAGAATGTTCCACCAAGGTGCGCAAACACAATGTGCTTGCTGGGGCTCGAGGGTCAAGGGCAGCTTGCAAGTCCCAAACTTTAATTTTCCCATCATAGGCACCGCTGACAATTCTCTTGTTATCAAACCAGATGCATCGGACCAACTCTTCACGTCCCTCTAGGACTCTTAAGCAGGCACCACATTCGATATTCCAAAGCCTGATGGTGTTATCTGACGATCCACTGACTACCAGACGGTCCCTATATTGGAGACAGGCAATGCCTAGCTTGTGCCCATTGAGAGTGTGCACAAATTCACAGGCGCTTGTGCTCCAGACTTTGATGGTCCTGTCTCCAGAGGCAGACACAATGTACTTATCATCAAAGTCTACTACATTGACAGCAGCACGGTGGCCAACCAGGACTCGGCATAGAGTGATATCAATGGCAGAAGCCATATCCCACACAGCGATGGAGCGGTCCTTTGAACAAGTCACCATCAGACCATTGCTGAAGCGTAAGTGCAGCACAGCCTCACTGTGGTGGATTAAGGTGTTAAGAAATTCACCTGTGTTCACATCCCAGACTCTTACTGTGGAATCTGAAGAGCCAGTTACAATGACACGTTCACTGTACTGGAGACAGAGGACAGAGCCTGTGTGCCCTGTTAACACTTTCAAACACTCCAGGCTAGTTTTATCCCAGATCTTAATAGAATTATCTCGTAAGCCACTGATAATTTTTTATCATTGTACTGTAAACAGTAGACACCTTTACTATTTTCAGAGTGGCACGGAATCCTCTGCAAGTTGTGTCGTCCACACCGCCAGTTAGATTCTATAGTCTCTATGTCCTGAATAATCTTTGGGTATAACGACCTATAAAATGAATTGGGAGGGCCATCTGTGGGTCTGTTTTTAAACAGGCACTGATCCCACCCTCTTCTTTCTGAAAGTCCTTTCCACAGAGGATCAGTGCGTACCATCCGTTCAATCAGCTTCTTCCAAAGCATTTCTTCAGAGATCACTCACTGCCATCCTTTGCACACCAGCTCTGCTGCACACAGAGATCTGGCATCCAGGTAGGAAAGGATTTTTTCTGCTATGTGATCTAAACCTTGCTCTGGTAATGCAGTGATAAAGTCCCGCTGCAACATGGGCTTCAGGTAAGAGTTGATATGTCCATGCTGGTAATGACACATTCGTGAAATAAGATGCTCCACAAATTCCACTAGGTCCGATTCAGAACACTGGTCAAAATATTTAATACACAAGTCCTTTTCTTTCTGATAGTTTCCTTCTGATGGCCTCTTTCTGGAGACAATCACAGATGATGTTCCATTACTTATCTGCCAAAGAGTATTTTTCTTGGGGGACTCATCTTCATTTTGATCTTTCATAACTGAAGTGTTCTGGAAAATATTTTGTACTTCAGATCCACCAATCCAGAGTGAATGGGGGTTTTCCCTTTCAGACTAGTCTTAGAAAAGACAGCAGTCAAGCACCTTCCAAGATTCTTTCCGTTTACTGTATCCAGCTTTCTTCAACAAAATCCCAAACATGCACTTCGGTAACATGAGCTCGATGGTCTTATCCTCAATCACTGAGTCGGGCTACATGGCGGCCGCAGCGGCCCTGCCTTGCTCTCCTCGGGCAGCAGAGAACGGCCAGCAGGGGCGGAGGAAGCGAAGGCGGAGGAGGCAGAGGTGGAGGCAGCTCTCGCACCCTCTCTAGCTTCCTATAAAATTTTAAACTTCATGATGCAACCATAAGCCACCTCTCCAGTCTCACTTTGGTCATCCTCATAATGTATCCAGGGATATATAAAAGACAGCTTCATTAATCTTTGCCATTTATCATACCTTCTTTACTTCTTTACACTGCCTGTATTCATGCTATTATTTCTAACTTCCTTCCATCTCCACTCATTGATAGTAACAATCAACTTCTTCCCTCAAAGCACAAACTAGGAAAGAAAGCCATCACAAGCCACACAAGACCATTTTAAGAATCTATGTCCTCAGAACTGGGGATGGTGACATACACCTGTAATTTCAGCACTCTGGGAGGCTAAACCAAGAAGATTGCAAGTTCTAGCCCAGCTTGAGTAACTTCTGTTTCAAACTAAGTAAAAAAAACCACCAAAAAAAAAAAAAAAAAAAAAAACCAAAAAAAATAAAACTGAGGATGTAGTTCAGGTTAAAGGAACTGGGTTCGACGCTTAGTATCACAGGGTGGGAGTGGAGGGAAAACAATGATCTCAGCAGCTTAGGCTCGAAAAAGGTACACCCTCCCTTCAAGACTCGGCTTTGCCACTTTCTTGCTAAATTGCACTGAATAAGCCAATCTGCTTTCTGAGCCCGTTTCATCATCTGTAAAATGTATCTACCCTACAGATCAGGACAATAAAATAAAATAAAGTGTGTCAAAATGCTTGTAAGGCAATGGAGCATAAGCAGTACTTAAAGAGAAATTAATAGTTTTAAAGGCTTATATTAGAGGAAAAATTCTGAAAATTAATAAGCTGTTTTTTTGTTTTGTTTTTTTGAGAAAGAGTCTCACTATATGTAGTCCAGTTTGGCCCCAAACCCACTGTGGCCCTAAACTCAAGATTCTCCTGCCTCAGCCTCCTGTCTGCTCAGATTATAGGCTTGCATCGCCACAAGTCCAGCTATCAAAGAGCTACACATATTCTTAAGAAGTCTGAAAGAAAGCCAAAATAAACTTTAAAAAAGAAAAAGGAAGGAAATTATAAAGTAGAAACTACAAAGAAAACAAACACAATGGAAGTCACCAAAGCCAACAGTTCTTTGGAAAAAATACTACTGTCCAAGATATTTTTGTAAATTGAAAAACAATGCAAAAGTAAGCTACTGTTACCCACTAGAGGTGAAACTTCAAATTCAAAGGACTGAAGTAAGTTTCCTTTTTGAAAGGGTTAGTACAACTGACATTTGGGCCAGATAATTTTTAGGATCGGTGTGGGGGCTGTTTAGCAGCATCCCTGGTAACAAGACACTAGTAGTATCCTCACCTCTATCATCAAGAGTTGTGACAACCAGAAAGTCTTCACACTTTGAAAACTGTTCTGAGAGGCAACATCGTCCCACTTGAAAACTACTGTTCTAAGCAAATAAAAGGGCCATAACACATGATGCTGGCTAAGACCAGATTTTTCACAGACACTCCTAATTTTAGAAGAGCAGTTTGTTCTGCCCATTAGGACTAGGGAATGACAGAAGCCAAGGCAGCAAGGGCAAAACTGAAGAAAAAGGCAGGTCTTAAAGGTTTCAGCAAAATTAAATAGTGTGTTCAAAATGAGAGAAATAGACAAGCTATAAAAGCCAAAAAATAGTGCCAGTTACCACAAATAATTGTATCAATTTTATTTTTAGAAAAAGACTGAGAAGCATATACTGGGGGGAAAGAGCACTGTGTAAAAATGGTCCTTGAAAAGGAAGAAGTTAAATTATCATTATTAGTTGATGACATGATCCTCTTCATAGAAGACCCTCAAAACTCCAAAAGACTCCTAGAATAACCAAATTCAGAAGCATAGCAAGATACAAAGTTAATACTCAAAAATCAGGGGCTGGGGATTTAGCTCAGTAGTTCAGCCGCCTGCCTCTAAAGCACTAGGACCTGAGTTCAATTCCCAGTACAAAAAAAAAAAATCAATAGTGTTTCTGTATACCAATAAAACTCACCAAGAGAGGGCTAGGGATTTATAGCTCAGTGGTTCTACCACCTGCCTGGCAAGTAAAAGGTCCTGAGTTCAATCCCCGGTACCAAAAAACTCACTGAAAGAGAAATTAGGGAAACAATGCCTTTTGCAATAGCTTCAAGTAAAATGAAATACTGTACTTAGGAATTAATCTAAGGAAATGAAAGACCTCTACAATGAAAATTACAGTACTCTGAAAAAGGAGATCAAAGAGGACATGAGAAAATGGAAAGATAACCCCTATTCCTGATAGTCAAAACAACCATACTTTCAAAACTGTCATACATATTTAAAACCACCCCAATCAAAATACTAAAAATAGCCTGTAATCTCAGCACTTGGGAGGTTGAGGCACAAGGATGGCAGCAACTTCAAGGTCAGCCTGGGCTACATAGTGATTTCAAGGCCAGCCTGACCTGTATGGCAAGACCCTGTCTCCAAAAACAAACAAAATTATTCAAAATACCAATAACATTCCTTACAGAACTAGAGAAAACAATACTAAAATTCATATGTGAAGACACCTCCAGAATGGGAAAAAAAATTGCCAGCTACTCCTCAGACAAAGGAATAATACCTAGATTAAGAACTCAAGAAAAACCTTGGACCTCCCAAATTAGAGACTTAATAAAAAATTGGACATCTGAAATGAAAGGACACTTCTCAGGTAAAAAAGTACAATGGGTCTGGGGATTTAGCTCAGTGGTGCTGTGCCCGAATTGTAAGCTCAAGGTCCCAAATTCAATCCTCAGTACCCCCCCCAAAAAAAATACACACACACACACACACACACACACACACACACAAATGATTACTACTGTATGTGTTGTAGTCAGGGTTTGGGGAAGAGAATACATTAAATACAGGACACATAATTTATAGAATTATTTTATAATAACCCAAAAAGTCAAATGCAAAGGAGTACAAGAGATTAGCCACACACCAGAGGCCCAAAGAATCCAGCCAAGGGCCTGGATCCCACAACGTCCCACAAAAGTCCAGTTAAAGGCTTACAATCCAAAGCAATGCCCTTCACAAGTCCAGCCAGTGGCTTAGAGCCTACAGCAATGTCTCATACTTGTCCATATTGAGGATCTGCACCCTGAAGGACCAAAGACCAGTGGTGGAGGCCAGAAAACCTAAGCCAGTGGAATGAAGGATTTGTGCCACCAGGCTGAGGGACCTACACTGGAGCCAGGAAGTGATGTTCACAGTGAAGATCTGAGTTCCCCTAACAAAAACTGCAGCCATTCCCAGCAATAGCGAGGCCCCAAGCTCCTTCTCTGACCAAAACATCCTAGTTCACATTAGGAAAACCCAGACTATGCTGATTCAGTTCAGCTGGGCATTACAAGTTGACCATTAGTTAATCCTCCACAATCCACCCCCTGGTCAACTTGATAACCAGACACATTTCCTTAAATCATAGCCTCTAGTAGTAGATTTGTGAAAATTTAACATATCTTGATCTCTTCAGATTTACATTAATGTAATAATTACATATATACAATTCTCATTGCATTCATTTCCACATTATGGCTTCAAATTTTAAAACTCTTCCGGTTTCCATTTATATAAATAATTAACAACACTTAATAAGCCTTATATACATCAACATATCACTACATTAAAATCATAATAGGAGAGAGCTAGTAAAATCACAATCCTTGCTTCCCGTTAACTTTGATAATAGGTGTGGCAACACTAAAAGGCATCCCAAGGAATCACCTGAATCCCAAATATACTCTTCCCTTCTGGTAAAAGACCTTGAGTCATTTTTCATTGTCCTGTTCCTTCTCAACAACCATATTCTCCTCTGTTTCATTCTTGCAATCTACACCTCTACTGGAGCTTCTCCTCTGGCCAAATGCTTCAAAACACCCTGCTAGTTCTCTGCTCTTAATTTCTAACATAGATACACCAAAAATTCTCAACAGTAACCATTCCAAAAATATACTGCATCACAATTTTTCTGCCACTCAGGGAATGTCTCCAAACACAAGCAAAAAATGCAGCCCAATTTCTTGCCAAAGAACAACATACACTGCCTGGGATCCACCAGTCAATGCAGTTCTCAACAGAGACCTCCCAAGCCTCATCCCAACTGGCAGCATTTTCATAGCACTCTGATTTTCCAGGCTCTGGCCAGAATCTCCCATATAGCTTAGAACATACCAAGGTTGCCTTTTTGGTCAGTCTCTCAAAACCTTTCCAAATTGATTCTCAAGACTTTTAAGCTTAAGCCACATGACCAGGCAACATTACAACAAGTAAGTACCCCACAATGCAATGTCCATGTGGGTTCAAATCCCCTCCTCACTGCCAATTATGCTGTAGTCAAGATTTGGGGAAAGGAATACATTAAATACAAGACACATAATTTATAGGATTATTTTATGATAATTACCCAAGAAGGCAAAGGCAAAGGAGTGTGAGAGATTACACATTAGAAGCCCAAAGAATCCAGCCAAGGTCCTGGATCCCACAATGTCCCACAGAAGTCCAGCTAAAGACATAGAGACAATGTCCAAGGCAATGTCCTCTACAAGTCCAGCCAGCAGCCTAGAGCCCACGGTAATGTCTCATGCTTGTCTGTATTGAGGATCTAATTTCTGTGTTAGTTGCTTTTCTCTCATTGCTGAGACAAAACACCCAACACCCAAAGATAGAGGGGAAGGGGTTTATTTGGCTTACAGTTTATAGACGTTACAGTCCATAATTGGATGACAAGTTGGCACTGCAGAGCAGCATGGCAACACAAGGCAGCAAGGTTAACCAGAGAAATTTTTCTGCCTCTTTCTTCCCATCCAAACTACCGGGAGGGAGTACAGCAGTGCTAAACCACTCACTCATGTGTAGTGGTTTAATAATCACAAGTGCTTGCCAGGCATGGTGGCGCATGCCTATAATCCCAGCACTTGGGAGGCTAAGGCAGGAGGATCGCTGTAAGTTCAAGACCAGCCTGGGCTACATAGTGAGTTCCAGGCCAGTCTCAAATACATAGTGAGACACTGTCTCAAAAAACAAAACAAAACAATCACAGGTGCTTAATACCAGCCTCACACATTCCAGTTTCAGCTACCAAATGAGGCTTTGGGGGGACATCCAGACCCAAATCATAATAGTATGTGAAAAAATACTCAACATCACTGTTCATTAAAAAAATGTTGGAGTATAAATTAGTAGAATTATGCAGATTCCTCAAAACACTAAAGAATACAAATTTCATTTGACCCAGCAATTCCCTTCCTAGGGATCCTCCCCAAAGAATTAAGGACATCATATTCAGTGATACATGCATACCCATGTTTACAGCAGTACAATTCATAATAGCTAAATCTTAGAAGCAGCCTATATTCCTATCAACAGATGAATGGATAAAGATAAGGTAGTATTTATACAATACATAATACTACTTTGCCATGAGGGATAATTGGGTCATTTGTATGAAAATGGATGCATCTGGAGACCATAATGTTAAGTCAAATAATTCAGACTTGCACACTTAAATATACCATGGTTTCTCTTATATGATAATCCCAATACTGTATATAAATAAAGTGCAAAATATAAGACAGATAAAAGGAAAAAAGAGATAAAAAGGTATTGTAAGCCAATATAGCTAATATACCCAAAAGTGCACTTTGACTAAAATAATTGTTTTATGTGTTATACATGTTCTTTAACCTGTTAGTCTGGCCGTTAACCTATGTTTATGATAATTAACTTTGCAAAGACTTATAAAACAAATAAATCTGTATATGTACTACCAAAGTGAGCACATAAATCTGATGCTGGCTAAAAAAAGAAAAAGATTTACAAAAAACAAGGATAGTGTGGAAGGGGAAAAAGAATTGTGTTATATACATGTATCAATTCTCCACAGTGAATATAATCATTATGTAATGCAAACACATACTAATAAAAATTTTGTTTAAACTTAAAAAAAGTCCTTCAATCAAATTCCAAGAATTTAGGTATCTTAACGGAGCAAGATAGACATAATAGCTAATGGAACATTTTTTATCATCCTGAATTTCATAAGTAATAGAAGTAAATCATTTCACCTTAATAAAATTATTTAACCAAAGAACTGAGTATTTTTTCTGAAAAACCCCAAATGTAGGGCTGAGGAGGTAGCTTAGAGGTAGAGGTCCTCATCTAGTATGCATGAAGCCTGGGTCCCATCTAATAGTAGATAGAAAGAAAGATTGATTGATCACATATGTGTGTGTGTGTGTGTGTATAACTTATATTTTTTAATATATATATATACACACACACACACACACACACACACACACACACACACACACACACAGACATATATATTATATGTATGTATGCTTTTGGCTGTACTGTGGATGGTTATATTATATGTATGTATGCTTTTGGCTGTACTGTGGATGGAACCCAAAGGGTCCCATGCTAAGCTAGGCAACCACATTACATCCTCAGACCTTTTCTAAAATTTTTATTTAGAGTCAGGATCTTTAAGTTACCCAGGCTGGTCTTCAATCTGAAATACTCCTTCCTCAGCCTTCTGAGTAGCTGACACTACAGGCACACACCACCATGCTCATTTATAAGCATGTAATTTTTTAAACCCCTATCTTTTAGTATTTTCAGGATACTGGTTCTAGCATCCCCTGCAGATAAAATCTACAACTGTTCAAGTCCCTCTATAAATTGTAGTATTTGCATTTAACTTATGCATATCCTTTCATGTACTTTAAATTATGTTTAGATTACTTATAATACCCAATACAATGTTAATAATTATTATACTATATTGTTCAGGAAATAATTATAAGAAAAAGTTTGTATATATTCACCACAATTTTTTTTAGTACTTTTAACCCATGGTTGGTTGAATCCTCAAATATCCACAGATACCAACTCTAATTAAGAATTTAGCAAGAAGGCCAGGCATGATCACTTATATTTATAATCCCAGCATATTAGGAGGCTGAGGCAGAAGGATTAACAAGTTTGAACCCAGCCTGGGATTTACAAACTTTCTTTTTTCTTTTTCTTTCTTTTTTTTGAGATAGGGTTTCATTGTGTAGTTCAGGTTGGCCTTGAGAGGTTGATCTTAAACTTAACATGTAGCCCAGGCTGGCCTTGAACTCTCAGCAATCCTCCTGCCTCAGCCTCCCAAGTACTGAGATTACAATATGCACCATCATGCCCACCTGTCTCAAAATTTAAAAAAAAAAAAAAAAATCAAGGGCTGGAGATGTAGCTCAGTGTGAATGCCCTAAATCCCAGTACTTGGGGGGAAAAAAAGGCATTCAGCAAGATGATTCCAAGAAGTCAAGATAGAAGACTGTACACATACCCATTATACTCACCAGCAGCAACTGAAATCCAATCTGAACCTGACAGGAATTCTAGGAATATTTTAAAATATAATTCTGAGTACCTAGATTATATAAAGCAAATAGAAATGAAGACAGCTCCTCAGGAACAATGAGACAAGTGTACCCTCATATCATCATGGTCTTCCATTACTTTCACTCATTCTACTTTATAAAAACAATGTATACAACTAACTAGGAGATCGAACTGAATAAGCTAGCAATGAACAGTGATTGCTGCCATCAGGGAAAAATAAAACTGCGACAGTCATTTCCTAGCAGAGGTGGGAAGACTGACTCTTGATCAAGATGGCAGCTGTTAAGATGGACCAATGAGAAATAAAGACAGCATCAGCAAAGAAAGAGGACTGGGACTCATCCTCCTCTATGACTCTAGATTGAACACATTTTCCTCAGCTCTCTCTGATTCAGTGATGATAACCTATGGCAACGCTCAGTTCCAAGAAAGTTTTTTTTAATAAACAGTCAAAACAAAAATGTCCCTCAGTCAACTAAATCTACGCCATGAAAGGTAAGAATTGAAAAGCCTGTGGCTAAGTATAAATAACCCAACATCAGACTGAAGATTAAAATAAAAAGTCCACGAGGCTGAGCCAGGAGGCCAGCCTAGGCTACAAGGTCTTGTCTCAAAAACAGTGGAGAAAATCAAATAAAAAAGAAAAGGTTCAATGCCACTTTAAGAAGTGGAATGGGGGGGGTAAACACACCAAAAAGAAGTGTAAAGGGGAGCCTACCAGCTATAGAGATGCAGTCCTCCTCCCAATAGGAGCAGCTTAGTCACTGGAAGTGGCCAGGAAGCACAACAACACTCCATGAGATGCAGTCAGCATTCCAGAGTTGTAAACCTGTCTACAGAATCCCTCCCCACACAATTTCCTCATATATACATAAGCAGAATTGTGAATGTAATTTCAGAAAACTCACAGACCACTCACAATAACCCTACACCTACCCTTTGAGTCAATGACCTCAAAGCTCACCATAGCAACTCTGCCACTGATTTCCCCTATGACCTAGGCAACTAGGTCAACTAGGTCTTACTCCACCCTCAAATCTCTGAACCAGAGAATACACATTTGTTAAAGATGAGCTAAATGCTAAAGGTTCTTCCAGAACTAAAACAAGGTTTATGTTTCAGAACAACGACATACTTCCTGGAAATGAGTATCTGTTTGTACGGTTGCTGAGTTTTCAGTCTAACTTTCTCATTATGGATGACCTACTAAATCCAATTAGAAGTATCACACTCTCTCAGCAAAAATTCCATTAGAAGCAAGGACAAGGCAGTCTCTCATTTAGTAAATCTACTCACCATCCAGCAGGTCTTCCTCATCATCCCTGTCATGCTCCTCCACTGCTACCACCTCCTCCTCCTCCTCCTCTTCCGCATCCTCCAGCTCCACGTCCGGGTCCAGGTCTGGATCGCTCCCTGAGGCAGATTCGTCTGACATGGCTCCCAAAGGTCCTCAGTGGGCATTACCAACTCATGGTCCACTGCGAGAGTCCTAGAAGGAGGACAAGAGACATTAGAATCACCAAGGTTTCTCTTGGGAATACAAATCTTCTGAAGAAAAAGATACTGAAAATTAATCCCTTGGGGATTTTCTAAGCAAGGCAAGCCAGCCACATCCAAATCTCAGCCTCTCTATGAGTATACTATCCTGACATGTCTTGGTAACTATGCCCAGCTCAATCTTCTCCTGGCTGCTTCAACAAGAAAAACAAAAAAACAAAAAAAAAATGTTTTTTGTGGTGCCAAGAATTGAACCTGGGGCTACACAAATAGTAGTCTACCACTAAGCTACCACTAGCCCAAGAAAACATCTTAAAGTAACAACAGCAAAAACTACATACCTTATAATTGCCATTTGTTCATTCCTTCTTGCATCACTTGTTTCTGAAGCACCAACTCCCTATATCTATATTCGTCTACACATCTACACATACAATCACAGGCGCTATTTTAGACACAGCAGAAAGAACAAAACATGCAGGAAGTGCATAGGAGCTAGTGTGTGCCAGGAGGTGCTGCTAATTCATACAATAGTATCAGGGAATTCTCAATAAGCAGAGGCCAGAAGGAAGTGAGACATATAGACATCTGGAGGAGTATATTCCAGGCAGAGTGAGCAAGCATCAGGGACTGAGCCATAGAGCGAGGACTGGGAATATTCAGGGAATAAGGACTAGGTCCTGCCTAGAACAGGCCTTAAGAGCAGAACATGAACAGTTCACTCTCCAATCACCTGAATGGTTTCCGGGGGAAAATAGCTCCTTACCACAATGTGACTCTTTCCAAAGACATGGAGAGCCTCAGGTATGGAACCCTGTGGCCATGTCTGTTCTGTGGCTCTTCCTTACTCCTAGCTCACTCCAACTCCCTTTTTTCCAAGAAGCCTATACAAATACTAACTGTCCTAGATGTCTAGAATCATATTCTCTCTACTACACTCCACTGGCCCATGCTAACTTCACTATCAGTCTTCTCTGAAGGCTTCATGTGGGCTCCCAAGCAAAGTGATTTACCTTCTTTGATTTCTGATCCTGATCCAAGAGTAAACTCCTAAGGGCAGGGATTTAGCAACTGTGTCTTTGTAACCTGTAGCTATAAGCATGTCCTACCTATACCTAAGTTATTCATTCACACTCACTCCCTCATTTGCCAACCTGCTACACTTATATCTACTATGTACTTAGAACTGTGCCTGTATCTCTCCTTCTTTGCTGCTCTCTCGTTCTCACACTTTACTATTAGCTATAAACATCATTTCTCTTAAAAAGAAGAACAAGGTAAAAAGATAGCTAGATAAACAGTTCAGAGATAAAGTAAATATAGCAAAATGTTAACTTGTACATCACTAATTATTTCCATTTTTATGTATATTCAAATATTTCATTTATAAAGGAGGGAGACAAGATCAAGGTAAATACTCTTTTACAAGAAAATCTGCTGAAGACAACCACACAAACACTCAGGTCACATCCTCAATTCCTTTTATCTTCCAAAATAAAAACTGAAGCACAAGTCTCTAATTATCATAACATAAAAACTATTCCAAAACTGAAATATCTTATTAAAGATCAGACATAATTTATAAATGTTTAAGGAGATGAAAGTGCTAAGGTAAGTCTAGTTAATTAGCTTGTAAGTAGGCAATCAGCAAGGGATAGCCTAAAATAAAAGCTGACTAGATGAAAAGAAAAAAGGCATATACCAAATTAAGAGCTAATTCAACCCATGTAAGCTAGTTTAGCTTAGAAATGTAAAAGCAAACACAGGAACAAAGATAAGTTAGAATAAGAATGTACAGATAAGGACCCTTCCTAAGAAGAAGCTTCTTAGGTAGAATATGATATTAGTTGACAGCTTCTCCCAACCTTGAGGCTGGACTTAGAAGAATATTAGAAATACAAAATAACCGGTTTCCTTTGAACATGTTTTCTTTTAAATAAGGCAGCTGAGTAACTCACTTTTTAAGTCAGCTGAGTAACTTTTAAAAGCTGTATACAGATATTCTGTAACAACTTACCTATTTAATAACTGTTCAGACTTATGACCCACTACTTAGCCTTATAACCTCTTCTCTTTTTTTTTGTACAGTTCTTTACATCTTGTAAATAGAGCCTCAATGTCCTTTTTTTGGAAACTACACCTTGTTTAAACGGTACTATAATTCTTGATTTACTGTACAGTACATAACTGTAGTTTTATGTTGTTATATACATTACAGTACTTATGTGAGTTATGCAATACAAGCAAAGCCATCAAGTTGGAGTTTCCTTTAACCACTTCTTTGTTCTGAATATTGTAATGTATATACCATATACAGTTCCTCATTTAGCAACCAATTCATTTAACAACCCAGTCAAAGGATCTGAACTCAGTCATTAAACAAGGACTGTACTACAAAGCCCCCTGGATTCTGCTTATCCAGGTAAGAGTAGAGAAAAAGCAGGCTGGAATTTCTGCTTTCAGAATCCCATACTAGAAACTGTGAGCTGTTTTTTCTTATTATTTCCAATTACTCTCCTAACTTCATTGCTTGTCAGCTATTTCATTCTTTGACTTTGTGAGATAATAGGCTTGGGATGGGTTTATGAATTTGTACAGTGTTAACTGTTTCACCATTACCCTGATTTGCTTACCGCATGTTGTATATATGTATGGCTTTATCACATTATACTCATAAATATGTAAAATTATTATGCATCAATTTTTAAAAATTAAAACCATAATAATAGTACCCAGAGGCAGGCAGGTGGCACATGCCTATAATCCTAGTTCTCTGAGAAGCTAAGGCAGGAAGACACAAGCTCAAGCCCAGCCTGGGCAATTGAGCAACTTGATATCACCTTGTCTCAAAAAAAGTAAAATAAAAGAATGGCTGGATATGTAGTTAAATGTGAAGGCCCTTGATTTAATTTCCTAGTATCACAATCCCCCTTCAAAAGAAAGAAAGAGTATCCAGACTATCCAACTCCCACAACAGAGAAGAGATTGGACAGCAACAGAGTTCTTTAATCCCACAAATTTGAATTTTTTTCTTTCATCTCCTTTCCATAGGTCACCAAATTACAGAGACAATGAACTTTCCTCTCAGCAATATTTGAATCACACCAACTACTTAAGAGGTACATTTCACTGTTAGTGATCTTCAAAAAAGCAACAGTGAGAACATGGCAGAGGAAAAGGTGGTCAGGGTGCAATGGCAGAGACAAAACATTCCATTTCTATGGGACTCCACCCACAGACATATACCTTCATGTGTGGCTCAGCCTTTCAGAATGCAGAGAAGGCATCCCTGATTCAGGCACTTAGATTTTTAGGAGACATGAGGGGGAAAGCTTGCAGGAACAAATGGTATCTCCCTATTTGTTCCTCATTCTGTGTGCAACACTGCTTCAATCTGTAAGGGTCTCTGCATCTCACACAGAGAGGCCGAAAAGTGATAATGGGTATGCTGCATTTTCATGAGAATGGTGCTCTCACAAGCAAACTCTGGGCATGGATCTTCATTTAAATGAAACTGGAGAACTAGTTATTCAAAGGAATTCTAAAGAAAACCATTATAAAAGCAAATAGTCAACTTCCAAGCATTTTATTAAGTCTACAGTTTAATATACTGAATTTATTAAAAGGAGGCTATCATTATGGAGAAACACAGCTAATTCCAGCCCAGCCCCTCCTGGCAGGCTTGAGAGTAAGGAAAAGGTTGTTCTACCCTGCTAAATTTAAAAACAAAGCACCTGCCTAATGAGTGGTGCCAGTAATCCCAGCCATTTAGAAATCTGAGGCAAGAGGATAAAGAGTTACAGCCAAGCCTGGGCAATTTAGTATGACCCTGTCTCAGAATTTTAAAAAGTGGCTAGAGAAGTAGGAATTAGCACGATGAGTCAGTGAGAAGGGCCTGAGTTCAAGCCCCAGTACTGCCTCCCCTCAAATAGAAGTAGCAGCCAGGCATAATGATGCACACCTGTAATCTCAGCACTTGGGAGGCTGAAGTAGGAGGACTGCCATGAGTTTGAGGTCAGCCTGGGCTACATTCAAGGCCAACATGAACTACACAGTGAGACCTTGTCTCAAAAAAGAATGACATTCCTTTGAGACTCCATAAAAAAGCAAAATGCCCCTTTTGTCCAGGGCTGTCTATGGAGTGGCCAACTTTTCTTTTTCCTGGGGCTGGATGTCTATGCAATAGCTAGCTCTGCTGTCCTTTCTCTGCGCTGCTGTATCCACAGATCAGGCAGGTTTAAGGCATAACTGACCTACCTACTATGCCTATAGCATAGCCTGCTATACTTCTTTTCTGTAATAAACTTTCATCTTAACTTAATCATAATCAGTCCGTGTATAATTTCCGCCTTTTTTGCTTGCATTTTTAAAAAATTAATTTTATTGGCACATTCTAGGTGTACAATATAATGACATTCATCATTGGAAATTTGTACCTTTATATAATCTATCTTGGTTCTTATTTTTTCCCCGTTCCCCTTCTCTCAACCCCTCCCTATTTACAAAGACTTTGTTTCCATTCTTTCATATTAATTCCATTTCCTTCTTTCATTTCTGCAATCCCTTCCACTTCCCCTTTGGACCTTTTCTTCCTATTTCACAATATGTCTTATGCCTTCTGACCCTTACTTATACTTTCAGTTTCTCACATCAAACTATTTGGTATTTACACGTGTGTCCTATTTATTTCACTTGAGTATCACCTCAATGTGCATCCATTTAGCTATAAATGTCTCTAATTTCTCATTCTTTATGGCTGAGTAGCACTCCATTTTATAAAAACAAAAACAAAAAAAAACACAATTTCTTTATCCAGTCTCCAGTTGATGGGCAATTGGGTTGTTTCCAAGTTCTAGCTATTACAAACTGTGCTGCTATGAACATGGGTGCACAACAGTACCTTTTCACTGAGCTACATCCCTAGCCCTTTTGATTTTTTAATTTTTGAGACAGGGTCCCACTAAGTCTCTAAACTGCTCAGGAGCTCTAAAT